CCTTCTCAGCTTTCCTGCTGGTTGCTATTGACTGGTGATCCACCGGATTCCTCAGGTCCTGCTGTTGTCCGATGGTCGGGCCTTTGCGGAGTATGTGGGCTGTTCAGAGAAGAGCGATCTTCTGCACCTGAGCAGCACTCACTTTGCCTGGCTGCCCATCGAGGTGCTTTTGAGATCCGAGTGTTGGAGTTCCAAGAGCTCCAACTGCGACTGGGATCACGCGTGCCTTTGTGTACCTCATGCGCGGTCTCTCAATCTCAGGGTCCTTGTTTTTGCTGACTTTTTCGACCTCCTTAAGACACCATTATTAATGATGATTTATAAGTGATATGGTAATAGGATAGTTTTATTCTATTTAGATACCAGGTAAACATGAGACAACGTGTTAGGTTATGGAGATAATTAGAACTAGTGGATCATCTGTATTTCAGTAGGATTCTGTATGACAGCCAGCAAGATTTAGAAAGGGAAGATCTTCCCTAAACAGCCTGCGGGACGTCTTTGAGTGCTGAAGACGTACAGTGCACACAATGTGGTATATTTAAATCGTCATAAAGCTTTTAAAAACTTTCATCATAAGAGGTTAATTCCCAATTTGCAGATGGTTGACATTTGGGGAGATGTGTGAGTCTGGATTGAGAACTGGATATGAGGTAAAAAACATAATACAGACAATGGGTGACTGCTCACATCTGGGCGATGTATTTGGAATTACCTGGAAATCTGGAATTACCAAAGGGATCAGTATTTGGTCCACTGATCTTTCTCATTTATATCAGTTGTGGTCTATTTACTGTAGCTAAATAGTTTGCAGTTGATTCCAATAGGACAATTGTCAAACACTACAAATGCTACAAAGGAAATTCAGAGAGACTTATACAGAATTAAACACTGGAAAAACACTTGGCAGATGACATTGAATCTAATGATGCACAATCACACTACTCAATGAAAAAAAATGCTTTCCATTTTTTAATTGCAAGAAATGTTAATGAATTTTCTGTTTAAAAGTTTGTCATATGCATTAATTTTCTTTACTGTAATTACATAAAATGAAACAGATTTAATTTTTCAAGTATTATTTATATAATGTTTATACTTTAAGTATATAAAATGTTGCTTCTGTGGAAAAAAGATAAAGGTATTTTAAATTATTTTAAATCATTTCTTTTCTGAGACATTCGCTGGTGGTAGACTTGTATCTTTGCTATTTAGATTGCGGTCATGTGGGTATGAAAGATATTTTAAATGACTGGAATTATCTAGTGTAATTATGTCAAAGGTTAATAGCTTTTATTTTACTACACTCAAAGTCTCATGATTGTATTCTGTAGAATTAGAAAAATAAGTGCTGTTATTCAAAGAGAGATAGAAACGCTTCTGAATTTCTTACAGGTAGGATAACTCTTAGCTGTTTTACTGAACACCTGCCTGCCATTTATATTTTCATACAGACCAATTATGATAGCTGTTAACTTCCCGCTAAGACTCAACACTGCAGTTTTCCCCTACAGGATTGTTTCCTTCATTTGCCATATGTTTCTGATTAATAGTGATTATCACAGAAGTGAAAAGCTACCTTTATGTATGACTTCATGTGTTATGGGTTTATATTTAAATTAGTTTTAACATTGTGTGCTTTTCATTGCTATATTGTTTTTATTACTAATATTGTCTCAATTTATGTGTATTACACCTCATAAATCTACCTCACACGGAGTCTAAATACAATGTTAATTCATTACCTAATGTTTCCTTTAGATTTGCTGAAATGCATCGTAACTGGACCTGATGCAGTTTTGACAAAGAAAGCGTCAAAGAAGGTCCATTAGCACAGCGGTGACGCCTTACACGGGTGCAATCCCCCTCCGGGGCTGTCAGTGTAAAACTCCCCCTTCCGGGGGTGTTCCTGCTCGTCCCATCAGGGGCTCTCCAGTGTGCCTTTATAGGACCTGCCCAGCTGTGGTTCATCATCCAGGTCGGAAGATGGAAGACATCTTCTAGGAAGGGCTCTGCCCTTCTCCCAGTGCTCCGCCTCCACACTGGGCACAGCCCCGCGTCCTGCCACACACTCATCCCTCATTAAGCAAGCACTCTACTTTTAAGTGCTCACTAAAACAAGCAATACCTACATACCGATTTTTATCAGTTTAATTTCCCCATTTAGCTCTTGATTTTTTTTAATTAACTTTTTAAATGCATCTGAAAAGTACATAAACTTAGCTGGTTTATGTTCACTTACGAACACTTGGAACAAATCGAAGACTTTTTTCATGTATTTTAATGGGAATTTAGGGTTGCTTTACGTGATTTTGCCTATGAGCAGAAATTTTGGAATCAATGGTTTTCATATAGCAAGGGACGAGAAACTCCACTCCTGTACCACAAAAGAAATCAATGTGGCATATTGAAAGTTGTCTGCATGTTGTTTTGGTCCACAGTAACTGCAGCAATATGTCAAATTCATGACTGATGTTCTGGATTAACGAATTTGCTTTTAATCTATTTTATAGTCATTAAAAACCCACCATAAGTAGACCAGGCCAGGAGGGGTTTTCGGCGAACACTTCACAAGTTAATGTCTGCTTTAGCGTTTTTTTTTGGGCTACAATATCCCTGTCCCACTCAGCTCATGCTGTTTCGTTGCATGCTCTTATAATTTAGGAACAAACATTGCAGAAAATGGTTTCTGATAAAGCACAGTTTGCACTGCCAGCTAATCAGTTCCTGCAGGTGACAGTCTGGAGTCAGAAAGAACTTGGTTTTTATTTTAGGTACACATACTTATGCATTCTTAAACATACATACAGTATGTATCTTGTGTTTCTTTTGCATGCTTGTTTACCTGCAGAATTATAGTAGGGCAACCGGTCCTGTGCTGTGGCACTTTCATTGTGCGTATCATTCATTCACTTTGAGCAGGTGGAAGACATGCCCATTGCACCGTGATCCGACTGATTGTCTTTTTGATTCTCTGTATGGTATTTTATTATCATGCTTGACGGCAGAAATGAGACTCCTCTGACTTGAACGCCTGCTGTCTTCATTTAGATGTGCTGCACACACTACAGCAGTATGTAGTACCTTTGCCTATGTCATTGAAAGCTATTTGATACTTTACGGCAGAGTAATGTGAGAGGATGTTTGCGCTTTTGGGAATATGTTCCTCATTTAATCAATATTCACAAAAATAATAAAAAAAAATTGTATTGGTTCGATGTGCTGTTAGAGACACTACGCGACAGGCTGTTTGTTTTCGTGTTATTTCCCTTCGTTCAATAGTTTCATTGATCTACGGTTTCTTAAAAAAAAACCTGCCATTCTTTGTGAACTTCACTTTCTAATCCCGTACACCCACCCTGCCTTTATGTTATTGCTGCCCTCCCTGCTCCCAGAACAGTAGGGTTGCCTTGACAAATCTATTGAAAAGCCATCCCCCAGCCTTTATTGGTGGGGACTGGAGCCTTTGAAATCCCTCTCTTCACTGCACCACAGCTGACATCTTCTTCCAGACAGAATGAATTAAGGAAATACAATAAAACACTTGATCTACCAGTCAGGGATCTTACCAAACTGAGGACGGATTCCATGGTGCCCAACCAGGGCACCAAGAATCTAAAATTACACAATACGTGCTTGTTTGCTGAATTAGCAATCGACTATTTCTGCTAACTCGATTGACAGGATTAAAAAGAATAAAAAAAGGAGAGAGAAAAAAGCAGACTCCAATCTAGTGACAAAGAAAGTGTTTCTGCTCACTAGCAAAATAAATGGGTATAATGGAAAAAAGGAACAGTTTGGAACAGATAAGTATGTTTCCATCTGATCCAAACCGAACTCCGTTTCATATGTGAGTAAGTGCATTTTGACCATTGTGTTGCTGATCAAAAGGCCAAAACAAAACCCTTCCGTTAATATTTTTATGTCCCAATGAAGCCAGCTGTGTTTTCTTAAAATTTCGACTGTCGACTTTCCATATAACCGAATCTGTATAATCTGCTTCCTGAACACGGACAGTGTTGTTCACCTGTTCTGGGTCACAGCCCAGTAAGGATGAGCAGGCACACAGCCAGTGGGACTCTGCATTTCAAAATATTGGGTGCAAAATGAATCTCAGTTCAAGAGCAGGAGTACGGGCAGTGAAGCCTCGGAAATACTCAAAGTGAAACATCCTGTACTGAAACACTTCCGGGAAAGGCTAATGGTGACAGGGATACATTTCCTTGTGCAAACAAACGTCAGAGTTTTTCCAGGGATTTGACTAAGCCTTGCAGGCTCGGAGGGGCCCCTGGCGATCCAGCTGTGCCAGTGTGGGGGAGGGCTCGGCGCTGATAGCTGGGCAGGGCTGTAATCTCTCCCCAGGGTATGTCAGGGGTCTGGGTGCGAGCTTCAGGGGTTTGACGGGAGAGTGGGCCACTCAACCTCCTTACTTCTTTAGAATCACACTGGTCGCTCTCTGTTACAACCCACAGTATCCCTGTGCTTCCTAGTAAAGACATGGCACCCTGCTCTGTTGGGATTCTGTCTGCTTTGTCATTCTTTGTATTTGTATTTTGGTATTGATCTGCTCCGGCCCTGGTTCGTCCAGGGTGTGTCACTCTTACCTCCTCCAAGCTCAACTTCTCAAGATTAAAGAGGAATGCTTCTTTTTAAAAGATGTCTTGAATTGTGTTTAGCACATGATCATTCTTGCTCTCGATGGAAGTTCGCAAAGTGGACATTGCAATGAAATATGAATATGTGCACAGAGGAGTGCACAGCACACGTTTCATAGATCACAGTTGGTAGACAAATATCTGTTCATATTCTCATAGGAGACAATGTGGTCATTTTCAGTGCCTTGGCAATGAGTGATCCGATCAATCAAAGAAATATATCAGGTAAGGAGGGTCAACTGTCTTGTCCAGACAGCTTACTCCACTCCTGCTGCATCTGGTTTGTGAGGAACGCAAATCACATCAACTGCCCTCACAGCTGGTTAATTCTGTGCAATTGTCTTCTGTCATTGCAGCACTGCTGTAACTGGGTGTCAAGCGCGGAGCCGTTGGACACCCCGGTGGAAACGATGTTACCAGACTGCCCACGTGTCTCTGCAGGTACGGGCCCCTCATGTCAGATTGTGTGTCTCCTGCCTCTTTGGAGCGCAGGGGCTTGAGTGGCCTCATTGTGTTTGTAACCGTCTCTGAAAACTGCACACAATGCCCCCAGAAAAGGTGCTTCTGAGATTTGTGGCGAGTTGATCGTATAAAAAAAAAAAATGTGTTGGATGTTTGCTTGCTGGCCTGTCCCTCTCACAGGGAAGTGTTCTTCCGAGATTCTTAACGAATGAGCCGATGAGCACAATTATTTGAAGTTTGGACTATCAAATGCCGTTGATCTAGTTATGCTCTCTTGCATAAAAACTGATAGAATGTAATGTAGCTGAAAATCAGAGGCTGTAAAAGTAGAAGTAATCTGACCTTTCTAAAGCAACGTCATACCGAAGCATCATCAAGAAATATGTCACGTATGTTGATCGTCACAATAGTAGAAAATCTATGCGTATTCTGTTCTTTCTGTGTAGTAATTTGAAACGTTAAGCTGTGAATATAAAACACATCTTGGAATCTCAGGTTCATTTTGCCCTTGTTTTCTTGTTGCTCTTGTCAGTTGTTTTACGATGGTCATTAGGAAGCTGCTAAGCTGGCAAGATATGACTTTGGCTGAAGTCACTGCACAAGAAAAGAAATCAGTCACATATTGAGGGCAGAGGAAAATGCAGTGATGGCGTCAGACTCTTCTGGCTTTTGGAAGCATTTCCTGCTGTGACTTTTTTGTCTTTTATTTAATTTATACTTCGTGATTTATCTTGGGCTGAAGTAAAACCTTTTTGTAGTTTTCTAAGGGCCAGATTCTCTGCCATATCACTGTATTTTATTTTATTAATTAATAAAGCTTGTGCTATTTGGGTATCCAGAATTCTTCTTCCATTATAGACGATGGCTACGCACTGCAGCCTGAGATCTGGTTCCATAAGTATGTGTTGGGCTTGATGAAAATTTATCAATGTTAATTAAAGAAATGGGGCGATAAATTGAGGTACCACATTGATTCCCCTCTTTGTTGTCTCCTGTCCTGTTTTGTAAGTTTTGAAGGTTAAATTCCTCATGTGTAATTCTTAACTTGTGGTCCATGAGGAATCCTTGACTGTCCACTTGTGAAACAGAAATGTAGCTCTTCCCCTCCCTCTAAAGTAAGTTCTGTTCTGGTGTATGTATACACCACCAGGGCTTAAGGAAGCAAAAACAGTGTTTGGGATGCTTCACAGGGTAAAAAAATCAAAATAAAACTGAATAGAAATAAAGAGAGAGATAAAAATTGTGCAAAAGGGAGAAAAGGCATACACTAATTAAAAGCCTGACTAGACAGATAAGTCTAGATTTAAAAACTGACAGATTTGACATCTCTCAGTTGGACAGGAAGTGAGTTCCAGAGGTGTGGAGCAAGGCGGCTGAATCAGAGATGTTGAGTGTTTCCCCTCCGACAGGGGGGGCAGGGTGTTCAGGGTGCGTTTCCCCTCTCATGAACAGGACACCCAAACGCTGCAGAGTTAAGCGCCTGTGCTGAAAAAGCACTCTTGGCTAAATGAAATGCCTTAGGGGGGGAAAACACAGAACACAGAGAGAATTAAAAAGTTCAAAAGGAAGAAAAAATCAATAAAAAGTGTCTACTGGGAGAAAGTTAATAATGACATACTTTTCAAGTTCAAATTCTCAATGTGTGGTATAAATACCAGTGGCGGTGGTATTCACGCTGGTTTAAATGGTGTTTGGAGTATAACAAGGTGGAGACAAGCTGTTCTGTTGCTCTCAGTCATCTGTGAAGCAACACTCATACCAGCATGGCTTAACACTGAGGGCACTGTTGACGTCTTTGTTTATTGTTTTTAACATGATAAATCTTGGAATTTCTCCCTGTGCGCTGGGTAGCTTTTTTTTTTTCAAAAGGAGCCTTCGTAGAAGGTCATTGCAGCAGCCCTGGCAGACTGTTAAAAAGACTGGCAGAATTTTATCAGTTACTCGCACACAGGACACAGCCTAAATATGCAGATAAAACTGGAACAAATCTCTTGTTCTAGTCGTCCTCTGGTTGTGACCCAGAGTCATTTGAAGGGACTGCAGTGCTGAGAGAATTGTGAACTAGAAAAACGCCCCCATTGAAATCCAGCTAAAGACAGTTACCAGCTGAAGGCTATTGAAGAAACTAACGTCTGTCAAAAACACTTAACCATTTTCGCCTGTTTCTGGAAGTGCGGTTGGTGTCCAATTTTCCTCCGGGCAAGCAGGCCCGCTTTCAGAGGGGGCTTCCACTGCTGGCCTAAGTTTGACTTGAGGTTAAAAATGTTGGAGAGAGCATATAAAGCTTTTTAAAATGCATTTTTGCTAAACAAGTTCATAGTGCTATACGACAAGGTTGTGGTCTTGTTGATGCTAATATTTAGAAGGAGGAGGATTGCCGAGCAAAATGAGAATCTTATTATGTATCTTACCTGTTACCATCCTGCTTTTTGTGTTGTATGTATTTATCCTCCAGTAAGCAGCTGCGTTAAATTCACGGTACAGGATCCCAGGTGCACTTCGTGGTCCTTGTGTCTTTGTGATACGCATATCTTTGAGACCTACATGTCTTCGAGAGCACAAGTACTCCCTGAGTAGTGTGTCAGTTAGTAGTACTGTGATGACTATTGTGTTTGTATACTTTCTGAGTAAAGTGTGAGTTACACTTGCTTTGTTTGATGGTAGGTTTTCTGTGGGACCTAGAATAGCTGTAGACACATCGACTCCCTAGGATAGGGTACCCCTTCACACACAGAACTGTTCCCTGGGCCAGTGGCATGTCCTCGTGTGAACTCCTGTACCTTTTGGGACATACAGTATGTCGTTTTATTTGCCTGGACCCCATGATTTGTCCTGCATAAAATCTCGCCATATTTACATTACCGGTAGATAATGCTTTTTAAAAGGAGAAGTGCCCATTACATTGATCTCTGAGCACTTGGAAACTGCCAGTGGCCTGCAGAATGACAACAGTCTGGCAGGGCGCGCTGCTGTACAGTGGCACGAGCTGGATTCCCGTGAGCTCATGGTAAGGAACACGCCCCAAGGCTTTCCGAGAAACGTCCCGACCCTGGACAAATGCAGACAAGATGAACATGTTCCCTGACGAGATGCCGTGGCCTGCTCTGTCTGAAAATGGACTTGTTATAGGAGAGGACAACGCGGATGAGTTCATTGTCCCAGCTGTGATTGGTGCTGGCCAGGCTGAGCCCTGCAGGGTCAGGGGCCGACAGTGTGAATGAATGGGACGGATATAGAAAGGTGCCAAAATGACTCCAGGAGCCGAAATGACACCTGACCTTTTAGCGTGTGCAGAGATTCTGAATCTCCCGGTAGCTTAAAAACCTTGAGTTTTGTACTCCAAAACAACCCTTTTGCAGCATACTGTAAGATTGCACTTTGCTTAGTTTCACAGTTGACCATTGTGTATCACCCATTCTGCAGGTACTTTGTATGAGTAAATAATTTATCCTTTTTTCATATAAACTGTTAAAATAAATGATGCATAGAAAAATCCCCATTTAAATGTCTGTTTCCCTTTTCAGTAGAAATAAGCCTGTCTGACTGAAACCCCTCTGTATAAAAATGGAGGTTTATCTCTGCTCTTAAAGGATTAATCATTGCTAGTGTTGATTATTAATTAAAGAGGAAGAAAATATTGGGAGTAAACAGTGATTAATCATTAACAAAAATAAGTTAGGTTTTACCTACTTTAATTGAATGACTGTTTTATTGAAATAATCTGGGATACTGTCTGTTAATTAATGCATAATTGCATTTTTGTTTTTCAGATTTTTGGATAATCATATTTGAATTACAGCTACATTTTTAATTCTAAATATTTACTGTTTAAAACTAAAACATTGGTTTGTGATTTTCTTTTTCATAAAAAAAATCCTGAAACATGCAAATAGTTGTAAGAGAAATAGGTATTATCTCAAAGCAATTATACAATGATTAATGAAGTAGTAAGTAGATTAACTGAAAACAATATATGATATTTTCAGTGCCTGCAATTTGCAGTATAGCATGAATGTAACAGAAATTAAATTAAGTGAATGAGCACATCTTGCCTTCTCCAGTACACTTACCCACGCATGATGTACTCGTTCCTGTGCAGTCAGGATCAGCAGACGTTGTCCTTGATTCAGGAGCTCATTGCCCTGGTGTCAACTCGCGACACGATATCTGCGCCAGTTTGTTTCCACATCACACTTAAACCAGACGCCTTTGACAGTTGACCTTTGACCTTTGACCTGCGCTTTCATGGCCCCACCGCAGAGCAGAAACGCAAGGCCGGGCACAGCGTTGTTAGCCAGCCGCCCTTAAACAGGCCTTCGCCGCTGAGCCTGCCGCCTGGCGATGCTGTAGGGTTGGGCCGCCCTGCGGCCTAGTCCTGCTTGCAGTCCTGGGCTGCACTGCCGGTCCAGTGCCGGGAACGCTGGGGACACACCTCAGCCCTTGTGAGGAATCGAGAACAGTGTGCTGCAGTTTAGTTCAGTCTTTACTGTCCTGCAGCACACTGTTCTCAATTCCTCACAACCTTTCACAGACGCTCTGGGCAGCCGGGCTGAGGTATGTCCCCAGCGTGTGCCAAGGGGGCTCCTGTTTAACAGCAAGGTCCCACATAACAGTACCACAAAAACAGAGAGGCGGCACCAGCTCAGGGCACTGTACAGCAGTGTCTCAGCGGTGCAGGCAGAACGCACTGAACGAGGTGAATTCTTCCTCAGTATAGGAAGAAACAAGGCCTTAGTTAAGGCTTTGTCTGTCCATCTGTCTCCGTCAATTGTCATGTTTCTTCACTCAACACTAAGTTTAAGTTCAGGTGACACATTTTTATTATATTACCATAGGCTGTTTTTGTCTAATATGAATCTGGATTTCACCGCGGGTGAGGTTTGTTTTTCTTATTCCTATCCTCTTTCTAGGGTGCCCTTGGTTCTTTCATTTATCTTTTCTCCCGAAGGGAAGCTGGGAAAGCTTTATAGAGCCCCCGA